GTTAATGATTCTTCCTCCAATCCTGATGCCACGTTTTTCTTCATATAGTCCAGCTTCTCGGATTATTTGCTCAACATATAGATTGAATAAGTATAACATGGTCCACCTGTGCATATTACAGGTTGCACCCCATGGGCAAAACATATACAGGGCAGGTTTGCACTTGCCCTCTGTGATGAGAAAGAAAACAGAAAAACTAGCGCTAACACTTTCCTCATAGGGGTCCATTGTGCCTGAGTCACTCAGACACATGACGACCCCGTGTGTTAAACTGTTAAACTGCTCCAGAGCATTTTCTAGCCTGTACTTTTATTTATTTTTAAAAATCTTTGCAGAAGCAGATCTCCAAGCTTTTTGTCACAATGCTGCTAGGTTGGATCCAACAGCCAATCTTTAGGTTAGTAGATGAATGAGCTCAAACCATTTATGCCACCCAGAGACTTCACCTCCTCATGTTATTGTTGTTAGGTGCCATCAGGTTGGTTCCAACTCATAATGGCCCCAAGTATTTCAGAATGAAACATCCCCCAGTCCTGTGCCATCCTCATAGTTATTGCTAGTGCTATGCTATGAGCCCATTGTTGGAGCAACTGTGTCAATCATCTCACTGAGGGTCTTCCTCTTTTTCACTGATCATCTCCTTTACCAAGCATGTTCTCTTTCTCCAGGGACTGGTCCTTCCTGATAACACGTCCGAACTATGTGAGATGAAGTCTCACCATCCTTGCTTCTAAGGACCATTTTGTTTGTAATTCCTCCAGGACAGATTTGTTTCTTCTTCTGGCAATTCATAGTATATTCAATACTCGTTGCCAATAGCATAATTCAAAGGCATCAATTCTTTTTGTTTTCCTTACTCATTGTGGTAGTTAAGGTTGTTGTCCACTTGGCTGGGTCTCTTTGAGCAGCTGGATGTAGTTACTCTCTATGGTGAGATTGGTAATTAACTCCATGGTCGAATCTGTTGGAGCAGCTGAATAGCTGCTTTAGGGATGTGGTCTGCTTCCAGTACATAAGAAGCAGCTTTGAGGAGGGTCTCCAGCTTGATGCACGCTTGAACTCTGCATGTAGCCAAATCGTTGTTCAGCACCCTGCCATGTTGCCCTGCCAATTTGGGAAATTTTAATGGACTTGAATTAATGACCTACCATGTGGTTTGGTAATATTGGCACTCCCTTTTCACTTGTTGACCTTGGGTTTGTCAGCCTTGGCAGCTAGGAACTGCCCGAGTGAAGAGATGCCTCTAGCTTCAGTGGGCTGGGAGCAAGAGCCAGAGGTGAAGCCCAAGGTCGAGGGGCTTTCACCCAGCCCTAAAGCCTGGCACCTGGAACTCAGACTTCTAACCTCCAAAGTTGTAAGAGA